CCACAGACTCACATGGAGACCCATAGACTCAGACAGAGACCCATAGACGCACGCAGAGACCCATAAACTCACACAGAGACCCATAGACTCACACAGAGACCCATAGACTCACATGGAGCCTCATAGACTCACACAGAGACCCATAGACTCACATGGAGACTCATAGACTCACACGGAGACCCATAGACTCACACAGAGACCCATAGACTCACACAGAGACCCATAGACTCACACAGAGACTCATAGACTCGCGCAGAGACTCATAGACTCACATGGAGACCCATAGACTCACACAGAGACTCATAGACTCACACGGAGGACCATAGACTTACATGGAGACCCATAGACTCACATGGAGACTCATAGACTCACGCAGACACCCATAGACTTACACGGAGACCCATAGACTCACATGGAGACTCATAGACTCACACAGAGACCCACAGACTCACATGTAGACCCATAGACTCAGACAGAGACCCATAGACGCACGCAGAGACCCATAAACTCACACAGAAACCCATAGACTCACACAAAGACCCATAGACTCACATGGAGACTCATAGACTCACACATAGACCCATAGACTCACATGGAGACTCATAGACTCACAGGGAGACCCATAGACTCACACAGAGACCCATAGACTCACACAGAGACCCATAGACTCACACAGAGACTCATAGACTCGCGCAGAGACTCATAGACGCACATGGAGACCCATAGACTCACACAGAGACTCATAGACTCACACGGAGGACCATAGACTTACATGGAGACCCATAGACTCACATGGAGACTCATAGACTCACGCAGACACCCGTAGACTCACACGGAGACCCATAGACTCACATGGAGTCTCATAGACTCACACAGAGACCCACAGACTCACATGGAGACCCATAGACTCAGACAGAGACCCATAGACGCACGCAGAGACCCATAAACTCACACAGAAACCCATAGACTCACACAAAGACCCATAGACTCACATGGAGACTCATAGACTCACACAGAGACCCACAGACTCACATGGAGACCCATAGACTCAGACAGAGACCCATAGACGCACGCAGAGACCCATAAACTCACACAGAAACCTATAGACTCACACAAAGACCCATAGACTCACATGGAGACTCATAGACTCACACATAGACCCATAGACTCACATGGAGACTCATAGACTCACGGGGAGACCCATAGACTCACACAGAGACCCATAGACTCACACAGAGACCCATAGACTCACACAGAGACTCATAGACTCGCGCAGAGACTCATAGACTCACATGGAGACCCATAGACTCACACAGAAACTCATAGACTCACACGGAGGACCATAGACTTACATAGAGACCCATAGACTCACATGGAGACCCATAGACTCACATGGAGACTCATAGACTCACGCTGACACCCGTAGACTCACACGGAGACCCATAGACTCACATGGAAACTGATAGACTCACACAGAGACCCACATACTCACATGGAGACCCATAGACTCACACAGAAACTCATAGACTCACGCAGAGACCCATAAACTCACACAGAAACCCATAGACTTACACAGAGACCCATAGACTCACATGGAGACTCATAGACTCACACAGAGACCCATAGACTCACATGCAGACTCATAGACTCACACAGAGACCCACAGACTCACATGGAGACCCATAGACTCAGACAGAGACCCATAGACGCACGCAGAGACCCATAAACTCACACAGAAACCCATAGACTTACACAGTGACCCATAGACTCACATGGAGACTCATAGACTCACACAGAGACCCATAGACTCACATGGAGACTCATAGACTCACACAGAGACCCATAGACTCGCGCAGAGACCCATAGACTCACACAGAGACCCATAGACTCACGCAGAGACTCACACTCACACAGAGACCCATAGACTCACACAGAGACCCATAGACTCAGACAGAGACCCATAGCCTCACACAGAGACCAATAGACTCACACAGAGACCCACAGAGTCACAGACACCCATAGACTCACACAGAGAAACATAGACTCACACAGAGACCCACAGACTCACACAGAGACCCATAGACTCACACAGAGACCCATAGACTCACACAGAGACCCATAGACTCACACAGAGACCCACACAGTCACAGAGACCCATAGTCTCACACAGAGAAACATAGACTCACACAGAGACCCATAGACTCACACAAAGTCCCATAGACTCACACAGAGACCCATAGCCTCACACAGAGACCAATAGACTCACACAGAGACCCACAGAGTCACAGAGACCCATAGACTCACACAGAGAAACATAGACTCACACAGAGACCTACAGACTCACACAGAGATCCATAGACTCACACGGAGACCCGTAGACTCACACAGAGACCCACAGAGTCACAGAGACCCATAGACTCACACAGAGAAACATAGACTCACACAGAGACCCACAGACTCACACAGAGACCCTTCGACTCACACGGAGACCCATAGACTCACACAGAGACCCACAGAGTCACAGAGACCCATAGACTCACACAGAGAAACATAGACTCACACAGAGACCCACAGACTCACACAGAGACCCTTCGACTCACACATGATACCCCCCCCCACCCCGGCCACACACACAAACAATTCCTTTCATGCTGCACGCCAGCGTGAGACGGTAATATCCGTGGCTGTCAATCCCTCATCAGTGCCCTACCCTCTCATAGACCGATTCAGACACTTGTTGGTCAACCCCGTGGTGCCCCTTGTACATCTTCAACGTTCATGCTACAAAGGCCTCATCACAAGTGAGAAACACAAACAAATAGACACATGCCTCTTGTTGTGCCCGCATTGAAAGGTACGGACCTGAAAACTCAATTTCTCGGTACAAAAACACGGGCTAAACCGTATGGGTTGACAGGTATGATAGTGTATAGTGTAGTGTATAGTAGTGTATAGTGTAGTGTATAGTAGTGTATAGTAGTATATAGTATGGTGTATAGTAGTGTCTAATGTAGTGTATAATAGTGTTTTCTAGTCTATTGTATAGTGTAGTGTATAGTAGTGTATAGTGGTGTATAGTGTAGTGTGTAGTAGTGTATAGTGTAGTGTATAGTAGTGTATAGTAGTATAATGTATAGTATATAGTAGTGTATAATATAGTGTATAATAGTCTTTTGTAGTCTATTGTATAGTGCAGTGTATAGTAGTGTATAGTGTAGTGTATACTAGTGTATAGTAGGGTATAGTGTAGTGTATAATAGTGTATTGTAGTGTAGTGTATAGTAGTGTAGTGTATAGTTGTGTAGTTTATAGTGTAGTGTATAATAATGTATAGTAGTGTATTGTATAGTAGTGTATAGTAGGGTATAGTGTAGTGTCTAATAGTGTATAGTAGTGTAGTGTATAGTAGTGTATAGTGTAGTGCATAGTAGTGTAGTGTATAGTCGTGTAGTGTATAGTGTAGGGTATAGTAGTGTATGGTGTAGTGTATAATAGTGTATTGTAGTGTATAGTGTATAGTAGTGTAGTGTATAGTAGTGTAGTGTATAGTGTATTGTATAGTGTAGTGTATAGTGTAGTGTATAGTAGTGTATAGTGTAGTGTATAGTGTAGTGTAAAGTGTAGTGTATAATAATGTAGTGTATAGTAGTGTGTAGCATATAGTGTAGTGTATAGTGTAGTGTGTAGTGTATAGTGTAGTGTATAATAATGTATTGTATAGTGTAGTGTATAGTCGTGTATAGTGTAGTGTATAGTGTAATGTATAGTAGTGTATAGTGTAGTGTATAGTGGTGTATAGTGTAGTGTATAGTGTAGTGTGTAGTAGTGTATAGTGTAGTGTATAGTAGTGTATAGTGTAGTGTATAGTGTAGTGTTTAGTGTAGTGTGTAGTGTAGTGTATAGTGTAGTGTATAATAATGTAGTGTATAGTAGTGTATAGTGTAGTGTATGGTAGTGTATAGTGTAGTGTATAGTCTAGTGTATAGTGTAGTGTATAGTAGTGTATAGTGCAGTGTATAGTGTAGTGTATAGTGTAGTGTGTAGTGTATAGTGTAGTGTATCGTGTAGTGTATTATAATGTAGTGTATAGTAGTGTATAGTAGTGTATAGTGTAGTGTATAGTATAGTGTATAGTAGTGTGTAGTGTAGTGTATAGTGTAGTGTATAGTGCAGTGTATAGTGTAGTTTATAGTTTAGTATATAGTGTAGTGTATTGTGTAGTTTATAGTAGTGTGTAGTGTATAGTGCAAACCTGTCAACCCATTATCAGCGCCCTACTTTATTACAAACCGCTCCAGGCCGTTTTTGGTCACCTCGTGCCCATCATAAATCTTCAACGTTCGTGCCACAAAGTCCCATCACGGTGGAGAGAAACGCAAGACAATTAGGCTTCGCGGAAAGAACCAAGCGTATGAATCACTGCAGTCACGAAAGCTTTTAAATAAAAAATTTAGACACATTACTCCTTCTGTGCCCGCATATGAACGTTACGGGGCCTGGAAACTCAATTTCCCCGTGCGAGAAGGTGGACTAAACCATACGGATCCGACGGCCCTTCCTGAAATCTCTATAAACACCACATTGTAGGGGGCGGATGGGGGTGGTCGCGAATCGGACGATAACGTGTTGAGTTGTGGGCGGTTGCTGCTTGCCTGATCGTCTTTTGGTGGTGGTGGCAGCTGCAGCTGCTGCTGCTGCTGTTGTTGTTGTTGTTGCTGTTGTGTGGTTTGATGCAACGCTTTGTCGTCATCGTCGTCGTCATCGTCGTCGTCACAATGGCCATCGTCACAATCCACCCCTCGCATGTGCTGCCGGCTCCCACATTACCCACGTTGTTTTACCCTCCCCCCCCTCCCGTCCCGCGCTAAGATTTAAGATTATTATAATTTAAATTTTTATTACGACATTTTTGTTTGTTTGTTTTTTGGGGCGACCACCCCTTTTCCCCACGGTCTGCGAGCCTATGTTATCACTCCCTAGTATTTTATTCATTTTTGCAGTCAAACGAATATCCAAGGAATGTGCTCGAAAGCCGGGGAAAAAAGTGTGTAAAAAAGGAGGTAAGATAAACAACGTCTCTCTTCCTTCAAGGCTTGATGGCTCACTCACTCACTCACCTACCCACCTACCCACCCACCTACCCACCCACCTACCTACCCACCCACCTACCCACCCACCCACCTACCCACCTACCCAACCACCTACCTACCCACCTAACCTAACCTACCCATTCCGTTCCTTCTTTCGTTACCTTCCGTACGGATTTATTTTTTTTGTCAGTTTTTTTTATTATTATTATATTTTTGTATCTTATTTTAAAACATTTTATTGCTTTTAATATTTTTCGTTTTTTTTTCGGGGGGCTCCTCTATCCCCACATCAGTTGCTTCCTTCCGCTCCTCCGTCTCCCTTGTTTGAAACGATGGAATATTTTTCTGTTGATTAATTTTATTTTTGTGAAGTTGACGTTGTTTGGAGACTATTTAAATTGTTTTAAATAATAATGATGATGATGTTGTTGCTGTTTTGTTAGGCTTGTTTACGTGTGTTGTTGTCATTGTTGTTGTTGTTGTGATCGATTTTGGTTCGGTTTTTGGGGTTGTGCTTATTCTTTTATTATTATTTAACGATTTATTTTGCTTGACTGACCAGAAATGAAGGACTCACCTGCAAAAGGAAGGATTCATCGCAAACAAAAACACATCGGCCCTGGAGTGTTTAAATTCATTCATTACGTTTGTTAAATGCCAGAGCGTGTGATTAACTGACACACAAACATACACACACACACGTGTACACACACACACACACGTGTACACACACACGTGTACACACACACGTGTACACACACATACGTGTACACACACACGTGTACACACATGTGCACATACATACACACACACACGTGTACACACACACATGTGTACACACACTTGCACATACATCCACATCCGCGTGTACGCACACACACGTGTACACACACACATACACGTGTGCACACTATACACATTTTGTTCACACACTTGTATGTGTACACACACACACGTGTACACAAACGTGTACATATATACACACACACGTGTACACACACACAAACGTGTACATACACGCGTGTGTGTGTACACACACACACACGGGTATACATACATTGTGCACGTGTATACAAACGTATACAAAGACAAAGATCCCCCCTATAGCATTAACAGACTGCAGGGGCAAGTGCTGTTAACGAGCAGCACCTATGAAGGCCGGCACGGCACACGAGGGGGTGGGTGGCTACCAGCACCACGCCCGGCCGCCTTTGTCTCCCCAGTGGCGATGTTCACTTCTGCACACCGCACCAAGTGCTCACTTGAGGCTGAGTCGACCTAGGGGACAGGGTGGACAGAGAGGCCCCTTGTCACTAACGAGGGCATAGTCAGTGACAGGGAGTGAACGTGTGCCCAGGAGGATGCATCGGATTCAACGGAGCACAGAGGCTGGTGTTCCAACCCTGGGTCTGTGTGTGTGTGTGCCTCTCTCACGCTCCCGGTGGGATTACAATGTGCCTTATCGGAGAAAATGAGAGAGCACAACTTACATAGAGGCCCCATAGACTCACGCAGAGAGACCCATAGACTCACGCGGAGAACCGTAGACTCACGCAGAGACTCGTAGACTTACACAGAGACCATAGACTCACATAGAGACCCATTGACTCGCACATAGATCCAGAGACTCGTGCAGAGACCCATAGACTCACACAGAGACCCATAGACTCAAACGGAAACCCATAGACTCACACTGAGACCCATAGACTCACACAGATAACCATAGACTCACACAGAGACCCATAGACTCACACAGAGACCCATAGACTCACACGGAGAATCATAGACTCACACAGAGACCCATAGGCTCACACAGAGACCCATAGACTCACATGGAGACTAATAGACTCACACAGAGACCCATAGACTCACACAAAGACCCATAGACTCACACAGAGACCGATCGACTCATATAGAGACTCATAGACTCACACAAAGACCCATAGACTCACACAGAGACCGATCGACTCATATAGAGACTCATAAACTCACAAAGAGACCCATAGACTCACGCAGAGACCCATAGACTCACATGGAGACTCACAGACTCACACAGAGACCCATATACTCACACAGAGACCCATAGATTCACACAGAGACCCATAGACTCACATGGAGACTCACGGACCCACACAGAGACCCATCGACTCACACGAAGACCCATAGACTCACATGGAGACTCATAGACTCACACAGAGACCCATAGACTCACATGGAGACTCACACAGAGACCCATAGACTCACATGGAGACTCATAGACTCACACAGAGACCCATAGACTCACACAAAGACCCATAGACTCACATGGAGACTCATAGACTCACACAGAGACCCATGACCTTACAGAAGGACCCATACACTCACACAGAGACCCATAGACTCACATGGAGACTCATAGACTCACACAGAGACCCATAGCCTCACACAAAGATCCATAGACTCACACGGAGACCCATAGACTCAATCAGAGAACCATAGACTCACACAGAGAACCATAGACTCGCACAGAGACCCATAGACTCACACAGAGACCCACAGACTCACATGGAGACCCATAGACTCACACAGAGACCCATAGACTCACACAGAGACCCATAGAATCACACAGAGACCCATAGACTCACACAAAGATCCATAGACTCACATGGAGACTCATAGACTCACACAGAGACCCATAACCTCACAGAAGGACCCATACATTCACACAGAGACCCATAGACTCACATGGAGACTCATAGACTCACACAGAGACCCATAGCCTCACACAAAGACCCATAGACTCACACAGAGACCCACAGACTCACACAGAGACCCGTAGACTCACACCGAGACCCTTACACTCACACAGAGACCCATGGACTCACACAGAGACATCAAGGTTATTGGTGGGTAACCACAGTTTAGTGTTGATGGTGATAATGGTAGTGATGGACATGGAACGGCTGGTAATATCATTGACGACGGAGGTGGTTATGGAGGTAATGATGATGATAATGATGATGATGGAGGTAGTGGTAATGATGGGCGGTGATGATGATGGAGGCGATGATGGTGGTGGTGGTGATGATGGAGATGATGGAAGCGACGACGATGATGATGATGATGATGTTGGAGGTGATGATGCTGATGGTTGGTGTCTGTGAGTGGCAGCCATCGGATCGTCCAGTCGTCATTCGCCAAACTTCAGACCTCAAATTCAACTTTCCTCGACTCACGTGGCCACCAGTTAGTGGACATTCACATCGAGCGGTCAAAGCTGCGCACACACCAACGGCGTCCATCGTTACAAACCTCCAGCGCAACACTTACATAGCACCTCCGATGAGCAGGCATGGGCGACGTTTCGATGCGAACGAAGGTCAATAAACACACGAACAAAAGACAAAGGTCCACCCGTGTAGCCTCTGACAGGCTGTAGGGGCAAGGGCTGTGAGTAGCGAGTAGCACCTGTGAAGGTAGACACAGACAAAGGTCCCCCGTGTAGCCTCTAACAGGCTGTAGGGGCAAGTGCTGTGAGTAGCGAGTAGCAGCAGCACCTGTGAAGGTAGACACAGACAAAGGTCCCCCGTGTAGCCTCTGACAGACTGTAGGGGCAAGTGCTGTGAGTAACGAGTAGCACCTGTGAAGGTAGACACAGACAAAGCTCCCCCGTGTAGCCTCTAACAGGCTGTAGGGCAAGTGCTGTGAAGGCTACTGGCTCTGTGGCACACGAGAGGGGTGGGTGGCTACCAGCACCACGCCCGCCCGCCTTTGTCTCCCCAGTGGCGATGTTCACTACACACCGCTACACCTGTTACTCGTTTGAGGCCGAGTCGACCTAGGGAAGGCCCAGGACCGGTTCAAATAATCGTCAACGGTGTTGGCAGTGAGCGGGGAAACGAACCCGGGTCGCCGGGTTCGTAGCGCAGCATAGCGCTAACCGCTACACCACCACTCAATAAACACGCACACACATACACACAAAGACAAAGATCCCCCGTATAGCCTTGACAGACTGTTGGGGCAAGTGCTGTTAGCGAGCACCTATGAAGGCCGGAACGGTGCACGAGGGGGTGGGTGGCCAGCACCACGCCGGACCGCCTTTGTCTCCCCAGTGGCAATGTTTACACACCGCACCAGGTACTCATTTGAGGCTGAGTCGACCTAGGGGAGGCCCGGGACCGGTTCAGATAATCGTCACTGGACGGTGTTGGCCGTAAAGCGGGAATCGAACCCGGGTCGCCGGGTTCGTAGCGCAGAGTAGCGCTAACCGCTACACCACCGCTTGGGTGGCGAGTGCCGTTAACGAGCGGAGCCTATGAAGGCCGGGCCAGGTGGGGGCACACACTAGGCGGAAGGAGGTGGCCGGGAACCACGACCGGCCGGCCCCATCTCCCCGTTTTTAGGCTGAGGTTGAGCGAGGAGAGGCCCGGGACCGGTCGGGAAATTTGCCGCAGTCAATCGGCCGGTGGCATAAGAGTCGTCGGAATGTGGGGTTATTGCAGGGGTCGGGTGCAAATTTTAGGACTCGCGGGCCAACAACGGGTTCTAAAACTTGACAGAGGGGGCCGGGGCCAGGAACCAGATGGATGGAGTGATTTGTGTGAACTAAAAATATAAATGACGTGTTAAAAATCATTACTCGAAAGGATTTGGCCTTTTAACAGGTAGCAAAGCGTTTACTTGCGAGGCAATTTAACGAATTGCATGAACGTGAACGATACAAAAACACGTGTCGTGACTCCCACTCAAAGTGCGCCATCTAATGGGGGAAATGGGGGGCATTGCAGGAGAAAGGTAAAATTTAATTTAATAATAATAATAATACTTGGACAAGTTCGACGGGCCGGATTAAAAAGCCCAACGGGCCGTATACTGCCCGGGGGGCCGCACTTTGCCCGCGCCTGGGTGATTGCGTGCACCATTTGATCAAATCACGCGGGGTTATTCCGTTTAGTTTGACAGATCATTAGACCTCCTTTGCCAGTACC